GGTCGATGAACGGTCCGATAAACATGGTATCTTCGTCGTCCCCGTTCGTCTGCGCCGAGCTGGAGTCCGCTTTGTCAATTTCGGTTTTCACCGTGACCGGACTTATGTCGGCGTCAGCGTCATCGGAATCGTTGGGCTCCCTGCCTTGTACGTTCTCCTCGACGTTGCCGAGTTCAACCTGCGTATCGGCCATTGCGCTTCAGCGAACAGGCCGGCCGGCCGCCGAGGCCAGGTTGGCTCACCTCTACATCGCCCAAGGTCGACACGTCGTTGACCTGAGGCACATTTTCCGCCGGCGAGCCCTATTACCGTCAACGTCAACTCTTGTCGGCACGAACGACGCCCAGACCATAGCTCGACGTACCTGGGTCAACAGAAGCGCGAGTCGCTTCTCCGCGAGTTCCGCACGGGCGATTGCATGTAGAAGATCCTAAGAAGAATGGTCAGTGTAGGATTGACATAAGCTGAAATCACGCTTTACCTTGTCCATGGTCACAGCGCGCGGGTACAGATGTCGTTCGTGATGGTGAGACGCTGGAAGTGTCGGCACCCAGCTGCTTTATATATTCGCTAACCTATGCGCCATCGCAAAGATCGTCGCGCCCGAACGAACTTGACCGCCATCAGTGCGCGGTCGTATGACTGTAATGTGTAAGAAGGTTAGCGCCGCTCCGCGATATTTCGTATACATGCTCACAGCAAGTATCTCTGGCCGTGCGAGTATGGCGCTCCTATGATGGGTGAATGCGTCAGTACGGACTCTCGCGGTGAGGCTACAAGCCCATACCGATCTTTGGGTAGATCCCGCGCTGAAACGAATAGCCGGTGGAGTGGCGTCGTCCCGGAAGGGGCGCAGGAAGGAAGCCACTAGTAGAACATCAAGTCAGAAGCAGTGCCGCAGGGAAATAGCGCAACGCGCCGCTGAGCCGCGCTCTCCGACTCACTAAAGCCTATCCAGGTGGGAGTAAGTATGTGGATGGACACGTGGAGGTTGTGTGCAAGTGCTAAGCGCTAAGCGCCAAGCTGGCAGGTCCTGTTCGCGCGCTTTGGCGCGACCGGCAGTTTCCGAGCGTCCTCCGTTGCGTCTCACCGTGCCAGACTCCGCCTTCGCAGTGACGACTGTGGGGGGAGGGGATGGAGACCGCATGCAAGAACATTTGAGCCGAAGAACGCGCAGGCAACGAGTAGTAACAGTACGGTTATGTGTGAGTTCCAAAGAGAACAACCACAGAAGGGAACGGGCGCCGACTGCTCCCACCATAACCACTGTATACAGAGCCTTGCGCAGAGTGCACTGTCAATGTGCGGACACGCTTCGTCGAGGGCAGCTTCCCAGTCGTCGACGACGTTGAAGACAAGGTGCGTCGCTCTTCAGACTCCCGCAAGCTTCCGCGCCGCGCCCGATGCGATCAGTCATGAGTAAATGTGCTGACAAGGACAACATCTGGTATTGCTACATGAACTAAAGGTACTATAAGCACGCGGTA